TCCCTTCGGGACAAAGCTAAGAGAATCCTTTGCCCCCCACCCCGCCCCCTCTGGTTCTGATTCAGTTCTGTCCCCGGGGACACTCCTGTCTGGGGAATGAACTGCCTCTGTTGCTCACCATCATCTTCATCAGCCACTTTTTCCTCCTTCTCATCCCCATCATCTCGGGGTCGACCTGCCATCAGCGACAGTTCCTTGATCACCTCCTCAGTTGTCAGCTTAGCATCGATTGCCAGAAAGGCATCCTCAAGAGCCTACAGCAGCACAGAAAGGGCATCAGTCCCAGCGGTGCTCTCGAACCCCTGCATGTGGGGCAACCCAACACTGCACCAGAACTAAGCAAAACAGGAGGGCCTTCTGTCCTGTGCCTGAGTCTCTTGGTAATAAGGAGTCCTGCGAACAGACTTGGTTCAGCTAAGAACAATGGCCAGTTCAAGTTCCAGCCTTTGCTCTAATTGGGGGTGGGGAGGTTGAACCCGGCTTGGGAGCTTCCAGTTAGGAGACAAGAGACAATTGGACAAAGCAATTCTGCCATTCTCTGGAGGCCTGTTAGAAAGGTCTCAGAAATGAAGGTCTCAGAAATGAAGCACCCTAAGAATTCTTCTTCTAATAGTTACCTGACCATGTAACATCACATTCAGGGAAATAAAGATGCGAAAATCAAGGGCCTTCTGAGATATGATTGATGGAGTTGGGGATGTTTAGCCTGCAGAAGAGGAACTGCAAAGGTAACTTGAGAGCCACTTTAAATACCAGAAGGGCTGTCCCGTGAGAGACGGAGCAAGCTTGTTTTCTGCTGCTGCTCCAGAGAGCAGGATCCAAGCCAACGGATTCAAATGACAAGGAAGGAGATTCTGTCCAACCCTTAGGAAGACTTTTCTGCTGTTGGGAGCCACCAAGAGCAGCTGGGAAAACCCAGCCAGATGGGCAGGGTATTAATAATAATAATAAGCGTAAGAAATGTTTGATTGCGGAACAGAATCTGCCGGAAGGAGGCAGACTTTCCTTCATTGGAGATTTTCAAAGGAAGGTTGGACGACCACATCTTTCGTTGTGATTCCTGCATTGTTGAGGGTTGGACTGGACGGCCCTTGGGGGTCCCTTCCAATTCTACAATTCCAAGAAGGATCACAGTCCCCAAATCCAAGTAGCAGCAACTGGCCATGCCACCCTGGTGAAATTTGCCAGTGCGAGGCCCCATTTAGCTTCAGAGCCGCAAGAAAGGGCTGTGCTAACGTCCCTTTGCAACATTTCCCCAGGGCTCAGCTTTGGGCGCTAAGCTCCCCACCCTGCACAGGTCGTGGCTGGAACCCGGCAAGAAGACCTGCGCCCCCACGTGCTGCGAAGGGCTTCCTGAGCTCCGAAGCCCGTGAGGGGGAAGCGGCTCCTTGGAGAAAGGCCCTTTGCCCCTTACCTTTTGCAGCTTGCCCTCTTTGTATGCTTTCTGGTCCTTGATGATTTCTGGGAGGTACTTGGCACAGTAGAGAGCGACCTCTTCCCCTGGAGCAAAGGAGAGGGGGGCCGTCAGAGGATCGGACCAGACGGCCCTTGGGATCAAGGCAGAGGGCCCCCGAGCAGGGAGGGGCGCCAAGAGACTCCCGGTGGGGGGGGAGGGTCCGCCCCCCTGCCGCCGCCTCGGAGGGGCTCCCGCCCGGCCCCCGAGCCCAGGGGCCCCGCTCACCTCCATGGCCGTCGTAGACGGAGAACATCGCGGTCTCGCCGTCCAGGTCCGGGATGCAGTTGTGGGCGTCCTGAAAGAGAAGCGGCCGCGGCCGTGAGCGGGAGGCGCTGCCCGGGGTCTCCGGCCCGCTCCCTCCCCGCCTCTCCCTCCCTCCCTCCCGGTCCCGCCCCCTCGCGCACCTCCATGGAGACCCGCCAGCCCTGCATGGCGCTGAAGCCGAAGCGCAGCGGGCGAGGCCCGTCCCCGGCGCCGTCCCCGGAGCTCTTGGCGGTGCTGGGCTGCGACAGGTAGGCCCCCATGGCTTCGGGCAGGCGCGGGCCCCGCCGGGCCGGAGAAGGGAGGGAGGCCGGGAGAAGGAACCGAGCGAGGGAAGGAGACCGGCAGGCGGAACCGGAAACGGGCACCAGAGAGTCGCCGCCGCCGCCGCCGCGCGGAACAACGAGCGCCGGAAGCTGAGGCGACAGAGCCGCCGCCGGAAGTGAGGGAGCGGAAAGCGCTCAGCGGCGGCCGCGAAGGATGACGGGAAGCGCAGGCACCATCGAGTCCACAGGAGCGGCTGGTTGCCAGGCAACGGGATGGGCGAGACCCCCGCGGGGCTTCGGCGGAGGAAGGGGCCCCCTGGGCGCCCGGCGAGCCCCGGCCCGGCCGCCCTCCGGGAAGGAAGGAGGGACCCGCGCGCTTCCCGGCCGGGTTTTCCCTTCGGCGTCCCGCTCTCCATCCTCGCCCAGTGAAGCCTCCGCTCGCCCCTTCCCAGCCCGCGGCGAGGGGGGGGCGCGCCAGGAGAAGGGCGAGCCAGGGCCGGACGCTCTGCAGATTCCCAAAGACGCCGAGGAAAACGTGGCCTTTTGCTGGCCCCGCTCAGCGCATATTTGCAGAAGGAGTCAAGAGGAAGGGAATTAAGCGAGAGCCGATTGAAGTGGGAAAAGGGATCGGAAATGATACAGAAGCTCCAGAGTAGCGGTTCCCAAACGGGGGTCTGCAGGTGTTTTTCGGACGAGAGATGTAGTCCAAAAAGATCTGGAGACCCAAGTTTGGGAAACCTGCCTAGAGAACAAAAAACTGGCAGGACCGAGAGATTAAACTGTGGCAAAAGTAGGAGGAGCAACTGATGAAGTGGAAGAACCACTAAATGATAAAACTGGGATTCTGGAAAACAAAAAATTATAAATGAAGAGATATCTGGATAATCTGACATCAGTGGAACTGAGAAGAGAGTTCTATCTACGATTTGGAGTGATCCCAGGAGATAAAGCTATTAAATCTCTGGCATTGTTTTTTGGAAAAGACTGGAAGAAACGCAAAATGGAAACACAAATGGAAGAGTCAATACTAGATAAGGTGGAAAACATGGCAAATACAAGGTGGAAATTGAAGAGACAGAACTGGGTGCGGACCAATGGATATGCAAAAATGTATTAAATTACCGTATTTTTTGCTCTATAAGATGCACTTTTCCCCTCCTAAAAAGTAAGGGGAAATGTGTGTGTGTCCTATGAAGCGAATACAGGCTGCGTTGCTTTCGCTGAAGCCAGAGCAGCAATCCCTCTTGCTGTTCTGGCTTCAGGGATAGCCGCACAAAGCCTCTTCAACAACATTTGATTCAGAATATTTTTTTTCTTGTTTTCCTCTAAAAACTAGGTGCGTCTTATGGTCGGGTGTGTCTTATAGAGCCAAAAAAAACGGTATATTCACAGTGGAAAGACGCTTATACATGCAGAGGGAAAGATTTATCATTATTTGATATAGTCATGGTTGGTGAAATTGTTGGACAAAGTTGATGTTTGAGACAAACTCTTGCTGACATTTATCAGTATCCTTAACTGGGAACCCCCTTTGGACTTTTTGTGTGAAAAGGATAAGGAAAACACATCTGGGTTTGAAGACTAGAAAAATACTGGTTTATGGAAAGTAAAGTAGTTGGATGTTGTCATGTGTCAGGGGCAGCCCGGATAGGGAGCCAGGTCCTAAAGCCCGCCGAAAGGAGGGAGGAGACTCAGGGGGGGTCAGCGTCAGAAGAGTCCAGGACTGAAGGGACCCCGGGGGGTAGAAGGACCCAGAGGAGAAAGGAGAGACGGAAGAGGTGGAGTAAGGTTAGAGTCTTAAACTGGTGTACAGGGGGCGGAGACTCAGATGGAGCTTCGCCGGTCTAGCCTCTAAGACGTAGAGCTGGGGCGCTCCGGTTTGGAAATGGAAACTGTACTTCAATAAAGACTTTTGTACATTACTGCTGGCTAGCGTTGGTCCTCTGTGAGCTGGGACCTGGAGCCAGCTCTGACATCATGAAATGAATGTTTTGAATTTTTTTATGTAACAGGAGAATCAAAAGCCCTTTTTCTTTTGTTTTATTCTCCCCCCTCTTCTTTTTTTCTTTCTCCCCCTTTCTCCTGTTGTATCAAAAAAGTTTAAATAAAAAATAATGTATGCAGCATTACCTTTTTCTGGCTCCTATCGAGGGAACTCCTTGCCACCAGCAGTGTCAGCCACTGTGTGGAAGAAGCTCTCTAGCCAGAAACAGCCAAAAAGGCGAGTGGAAATGTCTGAAGCCCACCAGCTGCCTGCCCAGGCTTCCAGGCCTCCTCCTCTTTGGCTTTGTGGCCTTAACATCCAATGGGGGCTCAAAAAGTAGAGACGTGCAGGACTCCAGCAGCTCCTCCTCTACAGGACTAACATCTGCCTGCCTGAGATGCAGCCTCAAGGAGCGGTTTTTCTCTTCTCCACACAGCAGAACACTTGCTGCCCCCCCCCGGCTGCCAGGGCTACAAGGGAAGGAGAGAATTTGACCCTCAATGCAGGAGGGCTCATAGAGATGGAAGATCCTAAGGCTCATCTAGTCCAACCCCCTGCAATGCAGGAATCACAGCGGAAGAATCCCTGACAGATGACCATCTGACCTCCATTTAAAAACCGCAAGGGAAGAAGAGTCCACCAGGGAGGGCTCCTCCGCTGCCTGCTGGGGGTCCCCCCCCCCCCGCTCCTCCAGCCTTGCCCAGCCCAAGTACTTCTTTGAAGAGGCATGAGGCGCAAGCTGCTCCCTGCAGCTCTCTGTATTCAAAGGGGGCCTTGAAAGAAGAGCGCCCCCTCTGCAGGCAGGAGCTGGCTCCCCTTGGGGGCTGGTCCCCTCCCCAAAGACCAGAGACAATGAGGACACTGTGGCTTATTTACAAAACAGTTTATTAAAAATAGGAACAGAAACAAACACTTGGAGCAGCCTCAGCTCTGGAGATGGGAATGGGCGCCCATCGCTGAGCAACCGGCCCCAGCCCTGTTGGGGAGGGGGGGAGGGAGGGGAACCCAGCTCTTGGGGGGGGCGGTGTCTGGCCAGCTGCTGGCTGCCTCTTGCACCTGCGACATTCATGGCCCTGTGCCCACCTGCCCACCCACTTTCTCCAGGGCTCAGGGGGAGGTGCCTCTGCTGCACAACCCAGGGCAAGAAGGGCAGCCAAGCAAGGGGGGGAAAAGGAGCCGCCCAGAGGAGGGTGAGGCTGCCAGGGAAGGGGGTGACTGTGGGGCTGGAAAGCCTGTGAGAGAGGGGGAGGGGCAGGGGGAGGAGCCAACCTTACTCTTCTTCCCCCCTCCCTCCCTCCCACCCCCTTAAATAACAAGACAGACATCTCTGTGCTGTGCAAAAAAAAACCTCTGTACAATTCAAGCAAAATAAAACTCCATGCGTTGAGCCGGGGGGAGAGGGAGGCCACTGGCCCCGGGGGGGAATAATACTGACAAGGCACACAGCCCCCCTTCCCCGCCTTGCCCCCTCCCTCCTGCCCCCCTCCCGATGGTGGCAGCGATTGTCTGCGGGGCTCCTGGCGGCTGCGGCACATGCAGGAGGCACAGCCAAGCTGGTTCTGTGCAGCGGTGGCAGCAGCGGCCTGGCGGGGGGAGGGGGCCCTTTGCGGAGGCAGCGCCCGGGCACTGCTGGCATGGGGGCAGCCCTTAGGAGGAGACGGTGACGGCCGCCAGCGCTCCGTTCCGAGAGTAGAAGAACTTGCTGAAGGCCTCTTCAAGTAAACAGCTCAGCCGGCTCTGATCAGCCTGCAAGGGGCAGAGGGAAGGAGAGGCCAGTGAGAGCCCCACTCGTGGGCTGAGCCCACCCACCCAGCCTGCCAGTGGGCAGGATCCTACCTCACTGATGAATCCCAGCTGGACCAGTTCGGCCGCCAGCTCCTGGATATTGTCACCTGGGAGAGGGGGAGAAGAAGAGGCAGCGAAAGTCAGGAGGAGGAGGAGGGCTTCCCTTGCCCAGCAATGCCCAGCCAGGAGGGAGGGAGGGACTTACTGGGCAGCAGGTCACAGCTCAGGTGTCGGTTCAGCTTGTCTTCCAGCCTCAGCAGCAGCGTCAACTGGGCAGAGAGAAGCCAAAGTCAGTTCCTGGCCCCTTCAAGTAGGGCAGCGTGGCAGAAGAGACCCCCCCCCGCCCAGGTTGGTACATACATGGTGCTTCACCCCTTCCTCGACTGACTCGATGTTGCATTGCATCAGGACCACCTGCGGGAGGCAAGGGGAGGCAGTGAGTGGGGTGGGAGGCCCTGGCTGTGCCTGCTGGCCAGGCTCCAGGACCTGAGCGGAGCAGGACAGCAACTCACCTTGCGGGTTTCCACTTCCGCAGGCTCTGGCGTGGGCGTCTTGACCGATGGGGGCGCAATGGGAGACGTCACCACCTCCTGCTGCGGCTGATGAGGGCGGGGCAGGCCGAAGGCCGTGAGGGGGTAGATGCCGTTCCTAGAGGGGGAGAGGGGTCAGGCTCTGTTCCCCAGGTGGGCAGCAAAGTTGCAGGCCTTCCACTTGGTGGAAGAGAAGGGAAGGAGGCAAGGGTCCAGGCTGGCCAGCCCAGGAGAGGCTCCCTGGCACACAAGAAGGGGGTGGAAGAAAATTCTCACCTCACATCCTCCAGAAACTTGTCTAGCTCCAGGGCTGGGGACTGGGAGAAGCTGTGCGGTGGGGAAAGCACAAGTTAGATAAAGGGGGACCTCAATGCTGAAGGCAAATTCTCTGGTGTCTGCTCCCCTCCCTGGCCTCCTTGGGGAGGGGCCAGAGGGACACCCACTGCTTGCCCTCCCCCTCCCATTCCCAGCCCCTCAGAGAAGCCTCACATCATGCGGACGCCCTCGCGGTCGGCATGGTTGATCTCGGCCAACACTGCACTCATGTCCAAGTTCTTGGTCATTTCTTCTAGGGCGTTCTCTGGGATCATGTCTGTCAGGAGGCAAAGGAGTCTTTCAGGAACATTGCAGGGGGTTGGGCTAGATGACCCTCAGGGTCCCCTCCCCATCTACAATTCAAAGCAGTTGATGGAAGGCAGGAGAGGGGCCGTCCAAGGGTCTGTACGGGGGCCAATTCTATGACTTGGACTAGAAATGATCTGAGCCATCAAAAGTGGCCAAATTATTCAGGACAAAGGAAGCCCAAGTGGTTTGCAAAGAGCCCCCAAAGGATCTCTCAAACTGGCTGAAAGAAGTGCAGTGGGAGTCAGAGTGAAGCAAGTGGCCTCTGGGGCAGAAACATCCACACTTCCCAGATGCCCCATGGGATCCGAACTGACGGGGTCTGGCCAATGGGAGAGGCCTTTGGGCTGCAGCGGAAAACACGCTCAGTGAGTGATGGCAGGAAGAAAAACGCCACGCCTAGTGTGTTATGAGAGCACCTCAATTTCAAGGCGTTTTTGTACTGCCAACATCCTAGCATCTGTCCATAAAGGCAGGAGAGGGGCGTGGAAAAAGCCAACCAAGATACTGGGAACCTTCTCTAAAAACGGAATGTGAAAATAATTGGGCCTTTTCAGTTTAGGGAAAATGAGGAGGAGGAGGAGCACTAGGAAGAGAAGCAGAGTGGGGTGAGGGACGAATGGATCCTAGGGGAAGTCATTTCCCCTGTGGCAACCCAAGCCCCTTTCTGAAACTGCAGGTTCTGCCAGAAAGTGGTCCAGGGACTTCCTGCCTTCAGAGTGGGGGGTGGGGGCTGCCACCGCTCCCCAAGCAGAATGCGGCACCACAAGATGTACACCACAGCACCAACTGAGGGCCAGGCTGATGCAGGGAAGGAGGGGACCCAGCCAGGGCCACCTGTCAGAGCAGCTCAAAGGGCCCTCGGGGCTGAGAAAGCCCCAGACCCCAGCAGCCTTCCACCCTGCCCCAAAGAGCTCTCCAGGAGGACTTTAGCCAGGAGCTGGGAAGGCACAGAGGGCCAAAGGTTCCAGGCCAGACCCAGCAAGGGCCGCTCTGCTCAGTGCCCTTGGCTGCTTCTGCTCTCTGCCTCCGGAGGAAGGGATTAGGCCTCCCCAGCCTCCACTCACGCTGATGGCCCACAATGCAGTGGGCTGCCAGGAGCTTCAGAGAGGGCACTTCAAAGAGGGCTTGGTGGAAGAGGAGCTCGCGGGCCGTGGGTCGCTTGCTGGGCTGCAGCTCCAGGCACTTTTGGATGAACTCCTGGAAGGAGGGAAAGGAAGGAGAAGGAGTGAAGGCCGAGACTTGTGCCCGTCCCAGGAGGGAGGGAGGGAGGAGGGGAGGGGCGCCTCACCCGCTGCAAGGGATCCTCCAGCAACTGGATGGCATTGTTGATCGCTTCCTGGGGCACGTAAGAGGATTCGCCATTGCCCTGGATCTCCAGCACCGCCATCTGCAGGGACAGCAGAAGCACAGCTCAGTGGGGGGCTGAGCCCCACAGTTGGCATGCTGCGATCCCGGAGGAACCAAAGGGCTCCACCAGCCGCCATCACACACAACGAGGGAAAGAAAGGGGACTGGCTCTCTCCTTTCCAAATGGGTCTCTCTCTTCTCTTCCTGGAGGTTTCAGATATCACAGAGACCAAATGACACCCCCTCCACGACACAAGGAGATGCACTGTGCACTGCACTCCTAACCCTGTCGAGATAAGACCAGGATGCCAAACAAGCCGCCCCTTCCCATAAGGATTCGAGGTTGGGGGGGGAAGCAGCTATGCCCCCCAACCCTCCCTCTTCACAGCTCTCCTTGCCTTACCTCCAGCGCACACATCCCAAAGGAGTAGATGTCCACCGCAGTCGTCACATGTGCAACTTCTGGAACACAAAACCAGGAATCAGGGCCCCCCCTGGCTGGCTGGCAATGGCCATTCAGAGTGGCCACTCAGTCATGGGGCTTGGGAAGTTGGGGGGCACCAGTTGTTATTGGCCCATAACCTGTTAGACTTGGAGCCACCATTTGTAGCTGATACTACGCCCCACTTTGACCAGGGCAAACAGCAGAGAATGCACAGCTCCAGAATCCAGGAGAGTCTTCTAGCAGAGTATCAGAGTTTTCCTGTTTTCCAGTAGCCAGTCTTTCCCAGAGCTCCCAGTTAAGAAACCTCCTTTCCCACTCAGTTCAAAGTGCTTATTGTCTCATGGCACAAGACAAGCATAAACACCTCAGCTACATGAACCTTTCAGAGAGGCTGGTACATGAGCTAATCTACTAGAATACCGTTCTTCTGGTCTTAGAAGGAGACCTTGTGAAGATACAAGAGAAATCCACTAGCACTTGACCCTGAACCACACAGCATGTAAGCTGCAGCTACTCCACCAACACCTCGCACTGAGCAAAAGCTCTCCTTGGGGAAGAGCTCACACTCCTGGCAACGCTCCTGAATGCAACCCCAGCTTTATAGCCGCCTCTGCCCATACACATTCCTTAGAGCAGCATTTCTCAACCGTGGGTCTCCAGCTGTTGTTGGACTACAACTCCCATTGTCCCTAGTTAGCAGGACCAGTGGTCAGGGATGATGGGAGTTGTAGTCCAACAACATGGCTGAAAAGCACTGCCTTAGAGAAAGGAAGGGTGGATGAGGGCATTTAGCCTTGGACTAGTATCTAAGCCACCCAGTGTAGCTGGTGTGCAAACTCTGAACAGAAACCAAACATGGAGGGGGGGGGCCCCTCAAGACATGGAAACTTGGTGTAACCCCGATGAGCTACTTCAGCCCTCCACCCCCCCCCAACAATGAACTGCTGCTCTCCCGCCATTCTTACCGCCATACTCCGGGGCAAAGAAGTGCAGGTTCTTCTGCTCTTCACGACACGTCTTCACATGGTTGTTGATGGTGTCTGGGGCCACTGGAAGAGGGGGGGAAACAGCAAGGAATCAGGGGCTGAGCCTCCTCCTCCCTCCCAAATTGCTCTCATGGGGCGGGCAGAGGGCATTCAGGCACAGCTGTTGCCACCCCAGTCCAGTCCCAGCGCAAGACAAGGGCAGGCGCAGCTCAGAAGCAAAGGGGGGAGGCAGGCCCACATGCTCCTCCAGATCTCCCATCGTTCCTGGGTGAGCTCCAAGCCCCGGCAGCCAAAGGAACCCCACCAGGCAGAGCAGATGAGCCCATTGGGAGCCGGGGTGGGGTGGGGTGGGGGGCAAGGCAGCACTGCTGGAGGAAGAAGGCAGAGGAAGTCCTTTCTGCTGCTCCTGGGTCTCCACTGCAGAGGAGCGCCAGCTGGACCAGCACTAAGGCAGGTACAAGGGGCTGCAGAGTAAGGGGGGCGGGATCCTGAGCAGCAGCAGCAGCAGCAGCAGCAGCAGCAGCAGCAGCTGGTGTTCCACAGACACCCACACTGACCCACCCACAGACACCTGAATGACAGGGAAGGGTACAGACAAGACAGTCCTCACCCCCCCCCCCTCTCTCTCTCTCTCTCACACACACACACACACACACACACTGGCCGGCTTCAGGCCTTTTCCTGAAAGCCCAGCAACGGAGAGGGGGATTCCCACTTGATCAGGTTGGCACCAGCCTCTGTCTCCCCACCAAAGAGGGCTGCCTCCCCTCCACTGCTGCCCCATCCATTCACCCAAGAGCAAAGATCCCAAGGGCCCAGTCGCCTTAGAAATGCCACGGGGAGGGGCAGTGGCCCTGGAGCCAAGGGTGCCGCAGACCCAGGCCCCAAAGCAGGGATCCACACAGAGGGCAGGACTTGGTGGGCACCCTGAGGGTAGTAGCGATGAGCAGGAGGAGATGGACGCTGGGGGAGAAGCTGCACCAAGCCTCCTCCTCCTCGTCCTCCTCCTCGGCACCCAAAGCCAGACGCAGTACCAGCCACTTTCTAACACAAGTGCTGCTGCTGCCTTAGAAGGGAAGATTATACCAGCTATGGCCTGCAGCAAAGCACCCCTAAAATCCGGCTTGTGACCTGGTAGCCTGCACCTGAGAAGGAAGTTCAATTTTGGCCTGGAATGGCAGAGAAAGACTTCATGACAGGAATGCTCAGTTCAGGCAAGCTGGAGCTCCACGAGCTGCTGCCACCACCTCCTTTGCTGCAAAGCTCTCCCGTCCTCCCAAAGTGCCCCAGACTCCCTTCCGGAAGCAGTAAACCATCATAGGACCACCTCAACGCAACTCAAATTACCAACCTAGTGGTTTCAATGGCCAGAGGCGCCTGCTAGAAGAGCCCCAAATTCTCTCTCTCTCTCACCCCCCCCCCCCGCAATTCAGATGTGGTTTTAAAGGTCATTTCCCAGACACTGAAGCCAAACACTTCCTGACTGGCACCCTTTAACGTTTTCTTTGCGCTTGGATCACTGCCAGGAAGGCAGGATTCATGTTCTCTGCTTTCCATTTTCCAAGACTGACTTGAGCTTAAAATGGTGCTTTTCACCCTAGCAGACAGAATGGACCTTCCCCTCTCAGCCACTGCCCCAGCCTCCCACCTGATGGTTTTTTATATATAATTGTCTTTTACTTAAAACTTTGCTCCAAAGCTCCACAAAAGCACTCCCCAGCCCTGCTGCTTCCCCTGTCCCCCCAGGGACCCCCAAAGCCAAATCTCCCACTCCACTCCTGACCCATGGAACAATATCCTGGCCTCTCCTCCTTGGGTTTCCACCAGGTGTTAGAACTGTGGTGTCTGTAAGGGGTTTGGACTTCCTGGTTAGTTTTAATTTCAGCCTCTACACAGGGGGCCAGTCCACTGTCCCTCAGACCTTGTGGGGGCCGGACTATATTTGGAGGGGGGGAATGAATGAATTCCTATGCCCCACAAATAACCCAGAGATGCATTTTAAATAAAAGGACACATTCTACTCATGTAAAAACATGCTGATTCCTGGACCGTCTGCGGGCTGGATTTAGAAGGCGATTGGGCCGGATCCAGCCCCCGGGCCTTAGTTTGCCTACCCATGGTTTGGACGCTCCCCAGTCTCTCAACCAGCAAAAGCTCAGGCACACTTGTCCTGATCCAAATAAATGTAAGGTACCTATCTTTTTAATTTCAGAAATATGCCACCAAATATAATCGTATGTGCTAATCCCATCTGTCCGCAGAGTTTCCGTACACATCAAGCGTATTCTAGTCACAGAAAGGTGTTTTTATCCCTCATGCCAAAAATGGGAAACTTGCTCAAAGGCTTCCTTCTGCTGGGGAACATGCTTTTCAGGAAGAAAGTCTGGCATTCAAGTTGCAGCACCTGCGGCTGAGGCTCTCAGGCAGGCAAAGGAAGCAAGGCGGAGCTGCTGGCATCAGGCAAGAGAGACAAGGCCACGCGGCTCTCGACTCGGAAGAGGGCAGCTTCTGTCCTTCCTCTGGCGGAGAACGGCAGGGCCTTCAGCTTCCTGGAGCGCTGGGCTCACTTTTGCCCAGGCAAGCCTTTGCCAACAAAGCATTTCACTTTCTTAAAGCAGTCAAATAAGCTTGGGCTTCCCTTTCCTGAAAGTGTTCTCTCTCTCTCTGTGGCAGATGAAGACCCAGCCCCCGACCACCAACTTGGCTCCTCCGGAAAGTGTCTTCTGGGGAAGGCTGGCCCACCAGGAACCAGGGGTGGGTGCATAGCAGGCGCCCCCAGCCCCAAAGAGGTCCCTCCGGTGTAGCTGCCGTGTCTTTGCCAGACTTAGGGCTTCAAGTGTCCCAATCAAATGCACTGTCCAGTGGTACGCCGAGGAAGCAAGCGGGCTTGGTTTTGCAGACTTCCTTCTGCCTTTGACAGACCCTGGAATTTCATCCCCAGCCCATGAAAACCTCGCCAAGAGACACAGCCACGCCAGAGACTCACTGAGCACACCACCCAAACTCACCCACCCCAGAGACTGGGGCCCTGAGAAAAAGCTGAGCTCCACAGAAGACATGCCACCTGCACGCAGCCCAAGCAGCGCCAGCGCCCTGGCCGCCCTCCTCCTCCTCCTCCTCCTCCTCGCGTTACCTGCCGCCTCTGCGCCACGAGCGCCACCTCTCCTCTCGGCCCTGCTCCCGTCCAGCTTCCACCTGCTCCGCTCCACTGAGCTCGCCTGGACCAAGGTGCCCAAGGATTTCTTGCCTGCCCAAAGCGAAGGGCTCTTTCAGTCCTTGGCCATGCCGGGGGGGGGGGAGGACACCCCAGGGCCCCCGTCTCACCGCCTGCAGGGCACAGCTCATCTTGCGCCAGGCATTGGCCTTCTCCGCCAGCCCTGTGTCTTATCCTTGCTGGCAGTGGAAGCAAGAGAAGGCCCTTCCCAAGGCAGACCTCCCTACCGCTAAGGCAGGAGACGCAGGCAGCTCCCCAAAGGGGGCGGCAGCAGAGCAGCTGCAGGGCCTGAGCACTTCCAAGGCTCCGCCAGGGTCTCCCAAGCACCTCCAGGCCCCTGCGCAGGCGACACCAGGCACACAGCTCCCAAGAGTCAGGCTCCGCCACACGCGTCCGACCCATTGCCAAGCAGCCGGCCGCAGGGAGCTGGAGGAGGAGGCAGCAAAGCCACAAGCAAACAGCAAGCAGGACCCCCCCCCCAGGGCCACGAGCGCAGGAGGAGGCGGCTGCAAGGGAGGCAGCAGCTTCTCTACAGGCACAAGCAGCCCAGGACACATGCAGGAGGCAGCCATGCAGCAGAAAGGCAGCCCCCCCCCCACACGAGGAGCCCCAACAGGTGGCAGGACTGGGGTGGCGCTACATAGAGCCCAGGTGCCAGCCTTCACCAGGGAAGAAAACGAGCGTCATATATGCCAATATACAAAGTGATGCTCTCATATCTATATCTCTATAGATAGATGCTCCAAAGGTCACAGTCACATCACAGAGCAGAGAGATTTGCTCACCATTAGCAAAAATCCTATGAAAGACTGTTGGCGAGAGAGAGAGAAAGAGGCAGCCCATAAAAGCAGGAAGTAAGACCAGACATGGCGGGCGCCGAGGGGTCAGCCCTTCACCTCAGCAGCCACAGCGCCCACGGCCGCCACAACCGGGCAGGGAGAGGCGGTCCTTGCCTAGCCAGCCACAGCGGAAGGCGATGGAGGGTGGGGGGCTCCTGGGACAAGGCCCTTCCCTGCTCCTGCCAGGACAGAGCTCAGCCCCCAAGAAGCTGCCCATTGGCCACCCCAGCAGGGCAGGCATCCGGGAAAGGGGCTGACCAGGCCAGGAGCTGCTTCTGGCTCAGCCACCACTTGGGCCCAGGAGCAGACCAGAGACTCCCTGCCAAGGGAGGGGGGTGGGGAAGGGGCCCAGGCACACGTGGGGCAGGGGAGGGCTTCTCTTGAAGTCCCTCCCCAGGGCACGCGATTTAGTAGTGCAGGATCCTTGCTGCCTTCCCATCTCCCTTGTCCCCCCCCCCCGATTTCCAGTGGGTCATGGGGAAACAGAGGCCTGAAGTCCTCTCCCCAAGGCAGCTCCTCTTCCACAGCTGCCGGAGGAAGGGAGGCCATGAGTGCCTGGTGACCCCCAGCCAAGCCAAGCCCAGAGGCCTCTCCAGTCCAGGAGTCCAGCAGCCTCCCCTCTTTTCAGCTTCAGGGCCTCCTCTGCACACCTCACAGGCAGCCTCAGGTGGGGCTGAGCAGTGGGAACCTCATGGACAAAACTGCCAGCCACCGGGGCTGCAAGAAGCCCCCCACCACCCCTGAATCATCAATGGGGCTGGGAGTGGAGATGGAGGGAAGAGAAAACAGGCAGGGAAAGAGGCAGAAAAGGGCTCGGGGGTTTTCCAAAGATTTTTTGGCTTCGGGGGGTGGGGTGGGAATCTTAACAGAGAGGGAAATGTCTCTGAATAAGGGGCATGCGGAGGACAGAGGGGGGATCCTAAGGTCAGGGTTCAGGTGCTGGGACAACGACCACAACCAAGCCTACATCCACTTGCTCCCAGACTTAGGGGAGGAGGTGGCAAAGCCAGGCAGAGCCTTCCAAGCAGCACTGCAGGCCCTGAAGCTCTTCCCAGCCCAAGGGAAGGGAAAATGGCAGGACAAAGTACTGGCCCACCTCCTGATTTCCTCCCCAGCTTCAGCTGACCAAACCCGTCAGACAACCACCCGTTCAGTTCCCCACTAAGTACAAAAATGGCTCATTGAGAGGTTGTGGGGAAGCAGCAGCCAGGAAGCCAAAGGTGGCGAGTGGCAGGAGGGGGAGGCTCTCCCTCTGCCGCCTGTGCCCAGCCCAGCCTGCCAATGCCCAGTGGGACCCAAAGGAGCCACCCAGTTCCGTGGGGCCTGAAGCAGGAGCTGCCCCAGTTGAGGATGGGGCAGGCGGAGGCCTCCGAGTTTGCTTCAGGGCCAGATCCACACCACAGATGCCAGTCACACCACAGCCGCGCTTCCTTCTCCTCCCTCTTCTCAAAGGAGCCTCGGAGGGGAGAGCCAAGGGCATTTGCTGGCCTCCCACACCAGCTACTAGGATCCCGACAGACAAGGGCAGAGCAGGGCTCCAGCCAAAGGCGCTGCTGGCAGGCGCAAATGGTGCCGTGGAGCCCTTGCTGCCCCCTGCCTGCCAGGTCCCGGGGAGCAAGAGAGTTTGAAAGAGCAGCTGCTTCACCCCCTGGACTCAGCTGCTTCAGGAGCACCAGTGAGATGATGTCAAGCAGAAGGGGCGTTGGTCCCCGTGTGGAGGCAGGCGGGAAGCTCTGCCACGATCCGGAGCCACAGGGCAGGTGGCAGCCTGGTCCTCCTGCTGCTCCCTCTCTTGTGCCCGGGGGGTTCTGAGCATTGTGCAAGCTTGCCAGCCGCCACCGCCCTGGAGTTCCCCAATCCCAAGCGTGGCTCTTCTAGCCTGAGTGAGTTCCCTGCCCTCATCCATGCTCTCTCTCAGCCACAAAGCATGCCAGGAAAGGCTCTTCTCTTGGAAGCAGTGAGGGTTTCTTCCACTAGAGATGGCCAGGTGATGTCACTGGCCCATAGCTCCTCAGGGCTGGTCTTGTCTGGATGAAATACCGTAGACCCAAACTTGTACAAAGCAAAAAAGAGGATGGTACTATTGTGAGCTCTTTGCCCTGTGGTGGTCTTTGCAATTCTTGAAAACTTGAACACACATTATTTTCTTGGAAGGGGGGGGGGAGGAGAACTTCTGCTCAAAATTTGGCCAAGACTCCAGAAGGTTCTGAAGTCTGTTCTACGCTGGGGCAGACTCCTGAGACGAGTGGCTCCAAGCGATGGCCCTGCAGGCGCAGCAGCAGCAGCAGGGAAGACTGGGCACCCCTTGGCACCCCCACAAAACTCTCTGCTCACCACTCAGCCCAAGGCATCCCAAGCGCAGAGCAAGCAGGCCAGTCAATCTTGCAGTTTGCGTCAGAAGAGTCTTTGTTCCACCAGGAGGGCTGGTCTTCCTCCGCCTTGGCAAAAGCATCACTGGGGGGGGGGGGCAGGTCTCTGGGCCCTTCCCTGCCTCGCAACATATGGAACTCACGGTGACAAGGGGAGGGACATGAGTCTAGGCGGGCCCCTCGCAGGGCTGTTGTGAGGAGAAAAGGGGAAACCAGGGGGGCCACCTTTGTTTATTTTAGAAAGGCCTACGCTGCTCTTCCAACAAAAATTCCCAGGGCCCTTTACAGAAAGGGGTGATGCAAAACTCCATTGGGGAAAACCCCAACCACCCTGAACTCCTTTTTTCGGGGGGGGGGGCAGGAAAAGGCAAAGTCACAGGCCCTTCAAAGTCCAGAAGAGAATCTCCACCCTCAGAGGCAGTTTACCAGACAAGGCCTCTGCACTCAGCCGGGTGACATTTTGGCTGCCCCTGAACTGCAGGCACCTTTGAAGGGCTTTGTTCTCAAAGGAGTTTTAGGACTTGAAGCCACAGAGGCCAGCAGTCCATTGCCATGCACCACACACACACACACACACACACACACACACACCAACACTTGCATCCCTTGGCAGCTGTACACTGGGATGGGTTTCCTACCCATTTAACTGCCACAGGTCTCTCCTAGTGCCCAGGAAATTGCTTTCGCCAGCCAAGTCCCAGCCCTAACTGCCCTTGGCAACAAGAGGCTTCTGGCTAGTCTGTCCCAGGAGCTCTCAAGAGAATCCAGAGATTTCCCAGAAGTGGGAGAGCCCCAGAGAAAGCCCAAGGGGAGCTCTCCCATTTCCTCCTCAGAGCTCTCAGGGGCTGGGGATGCCCAAAAGGCAGCTCGGCAAAGCACTCCAGTTGCCCTTCCCTCTCCTCAAAGCCCCGGCTGGCAGGGAAGCAGCAAGCAGAAGAGGGAGGAAGGAGGGTTTCTCCCTGAGGGACCAAAGGCCACCGGGAAGCAGTTTCCTGCCCATGCCCTGGAGGGACGCAGGCACAGAGCGTGGGGTGGGAGGAAGCTGGGGGCTGGGCAGCCTGAGAAGAAGGTGGTGGTGGTGGCGGCAGCAGCAGCAGCAACAGCAACAGCGGCTGCTCAGGGCCACACGTATCCAGGTGGCAGAGTTCTCCAGGAGGTTTCCAGAAGTCAGCAATGAAGGCTACAGAGAGAGGCACCAGCTGAGGCTCAGAATCCCAGGTGAGCAGGGCAGCAGGAGCCCACCAAGCCCCTGGGCCTTCTGGGGAGCTCCTTCCCTTTCCAGTGACTCTTGAGATCACTGGCTTGTGGCTCTGAAGGAGAGGCTTACCTGACCCGATCTTGATCAGCCCATTGTGCTGGATGAAGATGGTGTCACAAGTCAAGTTTCCATGAATGATGGGAGGGTCGCAGGAGTGAAGGTAACTGGAACGGCAACACAAGGAATGGTGGGCCCAAGAGGCTGGCACCAGCACTCACCGCCCCCAACAAAAGGCCACTTTCACAGGGGCAAAACCAAGGCCTTGTACCTGAGGCTGCCAGGGACTCCCCAAGAGAGCAACAGCCATCACTCTCCTACCCTCAGCCAGCTTGAGAAGGAGGGGAGGCAGGCAGGCAGGCAGGCTGGCAAAGCGGCAAGCCAAGTCCTGCCACAACTGCCAGAGGGAGCCAGAAGCAACCGCTCTCCACCCTGGCCTCGGAAGAACCAAAGGGGGCATGCGCAGCCAGGCTCCCAAAGCCCTTGAGGGATTCAAAGCATGTACCTGAGAGCAGACAGGATCTGGGTGCACCAGCGCTTCCAGGCCTAAAGACAGATAAAAGGAAGAGGCTCTAAGCAACACCCACAACAGGCAGCTTGACTGCAAGAGGCAAATACTTTCCTGATTTCCTTGCTTCCCTCCATGCCACAGACACTTCCTGGTTCCTCCCCAGCCTCCTGTCCTTCTGGGGCTCTGAGTTGGCCAAGGGAAGCTGCTTCTCTGTGCTCAAAGGCAGGACGGCCCCAGCAGGAGGCCTGGGACCCAGGAGCAGAGGGAGGCGGGAGGAGAAGGAAGTGAGGGTCACCTTTTCATTCATGGTCTTGTGGTTCTTCTTTGTCTTCTTCAGAAACTGCTTCAGGCTGCCAGAGGACATGTACTCAGTGATGAAGATCACCTGGGAAGGAGAAGGAAGTCACCAACTGCTGCTGCTTCTCCACAAGCCCATCAGGAAGACGTTGGGGGGGGCACCCCTCTTACCCTGGCCTTGTTCTCCTTCACATCTGCCCAGTACTTGTGGAACTTCACAATGTTCAGGTGTTCTAGCTGGATCAGGTTGTCAAAGACAGCTTTGACCTTCTCCTGGAGGGACAAAGCAGAGGAATGCCAGACCCCAGCAAGAGGAGAGCCCATTGCTTACCCCAGCCTCACAGCCGTGGAGAGACGGGTGCAGTGCTGGGAGAGAACCCCCAAGGGCTGGCCAAGCAGCAGCCAGCCCACCCCCCGGGAGGCTAGCCAGTCTTCCCACAGGGCTCTGCACTGCTGGGATTTCTGCCACTGCCTCCCAGGCGTCCTGAGCACGATGCCCACCTACTCCCCATCCTTCCCATCCCAGGCTCACCAACCTCCTGAAGCTTAAAATTCTTGCGCTCCGAGAACTGGACCTCATTCCAAACCACTTCCACCCCTTCTTCTGTGTCCATTGCCAGGTAAGCACTGTCAATCCCAGGAACATTGCGCTGATTCACCTGCATGGAGAGGGGCAAAAATAAAAGCAGTGATTCAGGGAGCTGTGGAGACGAGGAGCTAGTGCTTGTGGAGACCCCCACGCCTGAGTCAGGAAACTCCTGGGGACAGGAGCAGCCCAGAAAGATTTGCTCCAAGACCTCTTCCTGACAAGTCAGTCTTGCTGCTCTGAAAATCACAGCAGAGATTCATGTCACAAAGAGTCAAAAAGCTCTCGTACCCTAAATGATGGTGGCTGAGAAAGTCAGTCCTGGAACCAACTGGAGGGGGGTGGTTGCCTGGGCTTTATCCTGAGTGATGCCCAGGATCTGGGGCAAGATCTCAATCTCATTGACATTTATCAATTTCAAAACACGACTAGAAGGTTGCCAAGTCAGCACAAGACAGTTTTAAAGGGGGAAACCTAAAAATGTGGGGATCAGTTTAGAACTGAGACGATGAAGTTTCCCCAAGGTGCTCAGTGGCTATTTAACACCATGATGACAGCTCAGCTAGAATGTAGACCACTGATTAGGAAATGCACCCCCACCAGTCCAGCAGAGAGATTTAATGACAGAGGGTGCCTTCATTCAGAGAACAGAAATCTTGCCCAAAGCAGAATAGAAAGGAGTAAGGGCTCTGGAAAAGAAGAAAGTGAATGGCATAATGCTAAAGGGGGTTCCTGCATTGCAAGGGGTTGGACTAGATGACTCTTGGGGTCCCTTCCAACGCTACAGTTCTATGATTCTACGAAAACCATGGTTGACTAAATATCCAAACCAAGATAATCAAGGGTCTGGAAAGAAAGCCTTATGAGGAATGGTGGAGGGAACTGGGCATGTTTACCTTGGAAAAGAGGAGACTGAGAGGAGATACAAAAGCCATATTCAACTATCTGAAGGGCTGCCCCATGGAAGAGGGAAGGAGCTTGTTTTCTCCTGCTCTGGAGGGAAGGACTTGAACCAGTGGAGTCAAGTTTCAAGAAAGGAGATGCCAACTCAACACCAGGAAGAGCTTTCTGACAGGAGAGATGGGTCCTGCGCTCAGGCTCTGCTTGCAGGGTTCCCATAGGAGGGGGGTTGTTCTTTTATTTTATTTTTATTACTTTATTTCATTTCATTTCATTATTTATATGCCACTCATCTGACTGGGTTGCCCTAGCCACTCTGGGCGGCTCTCAAGAGAATATTAAAAACACAATAAAACATCAAACAGTAAAAGCTTCCCTGACATGTTCTGACACCAGGGTACAGGAAAAGACTTTTGGTACTCTTCACAACATGCTTGGAATTTCACCACCATGAGCAATTATGGGTCATTTATGGAGACTGCCTCCCTCATCACTGACTCTCTGGAGGAAAGTAAAAACATTCCTGCTTCCCCAAGCATTTGATGGCTGAAATGCTCTTCCTGAAATCCCTGTTGGGGGGGGGGAATGCTTTTAATTGTTTTAAATTAAATTAAATGATATTGCTATTGATGTATTTGCCACCCTGGGCACCTTTGAGAGAAAGAATGGGATGTAAGTTGAATTGATGCCGATGCTGATGACAAAATAATGGCAAAAACCTGGAAAATTCAGAATAATTTTAAACAGTACTGAGCCCAATGCAGATCCTTGGGGACCACAAAGCCTGCAATGCCTCAATTAACCATAACTCTGATAACAACCCCCTCCCATGGGTCCCCGGTTGTGATGGCATGATGCCAGAGGTTTTGTCTCCCTGCAACACTTAAACAAAAAACAAAAAACTACCAAGTTACGATACTATGGTAACAAAAAGTTTGTGGGCACTTGTTCCCCCAGAGGGTTGGGCCAATATGGCCCTCCAGCCCAAAAAAGGTAGATCTACGCATTTGCAGAGAAACAAATCAAGAAGACTGGAAGGCAAGGCTTTGTGGAAGTCATTCTTCTTGTTCTTCTGGCCTGAAGAACTCACCCTGCAAGAATTTCCCCCAGCTATGCGAGGACAGATGTTTGGCTGAAAGGTCTACGATGCCCATGGATCCCTTGAAAGGTGGGCCTGCCCCCTGCCACTTCGGATGAGCCTGCCTGCCGCCTCCCCTGTCCCTGTGGCATGGGAGAAACCAGCAAAAGCAGCAAGGCCAAGAGCAGGAGGCCTCAGGCCACCATGCCGGTCCCTTCCCCAAGCAGGGGAGAGGCAAGGGAGGAAGAACGGGCCAGGATTCCTCCCCCTCTGCAGAAGGCAAGAGCTGCCTCTGGCTGCCAGGGGGTGGGGGCACCCCAAGGCTTGGCTGGACCCACGCCTGGAACAAGCTGGCCTGGCTCATGGTTTGCCTAATACTCCTCCTTCTGTAGCCACCTGGCCCTCTTGCTGCCTCCGCAGCCTGGAGCCTTGCGCAGAGACAGTATCCCTGGGTGGGCTTTCCCCATCCATCACCAGAGTGACGCAGTGGCAGGAGAGACACCTCCTTCCTGATGTTGCAGAAGAGGGCAGGACTCTTTCCCCTGGTCCTTCCATTCAGGAGGCCAGAGCACCTCCTGCCTCTGGGGCCCACGCTGCCTCTTTTTCAGCCTGCTTCCCTTGCCCCTGCCCAGCCAGCCAGCCTGGCTTCCTCCCTGCCCCAGCTTGCAACAGAAATGACGCAGCAGCAGCCTGCCTTGCATCAGGGCCACATTCCTCCCCAGGGCCCAACCCTCTTCTGGGGCACAGCCACTTCCTCGAGGCCTCACCAGGTCAAGCCACAGTGAGTCAGCCCAAGTGAGTTGACACAGAATAGGAAAGGGCTGGTAGGCAGGCTCCTCACCATCTGCCCAGAGATGTCTAGCAACAGCCCCCCCCCAGCCCAGCCAAGGAGGGAGGGGCAAAGGAACAATGAATGAGAACAGCTGCAAGAAGAGGGAGGGCCAAACTGCAGCCAAGCAAAAAAGGCCCCCAGACTCAGGGCTGCTGGCAGGCAGATCTATTTGGGGAAAGGGAGGGGAGGAGGGCAACCAAGCCCATGGCCAAGGAAGCTCCCAGGCCGCTTTGCACCCCAAAAGGGCTCATCAGACAAGGCTTCCAGGAGAGTCGGCCCAAATTCCTTCCCACCTTGTTCTCCCTCCAAGGCGCCTCTTCTCCTGACACACACACTTCCCCCACCCAGAGGCACGGCCCCATGGAAGCCAAACAAGGCCTCCTGTGTTGGTCTCAGGCCCTCAAAGTGCTCGCCCTGCTCTTCGCTTCCAGCTTCGGGACCAACTCTGACAGAGGCCAAAGAGGAGTCAGGCCAGGCTAGCGATGACCAGTCTTTCTGGAGATTCTGATCACATTTTAGCCTCCTGGGAGGGGAGGCTTTTCCATCCAAGGCTCCAGACCACAAGACAGCCAGGATACCCCCAGGAATGCCCTGTGCAAAGCGGGCATGTCAGCTGCCCCCCAAGACCAGCAGTCAGTCAGCCTTGGCTGGTCAAACTAGTCACCATCCTGCCACACTCAGCCTCAGCCAGCCGGCACAAAAAGGTGAACTGTGCGCTTGACCTCCTCCCAAGCCCCCCCCCCCATCTCCCAAAGGACGATTCAGCCTCTGGGTGAGCAACAATGTCCCTTCCAAGCAAGGAACATCTTCTGGCACCCAGGGGCCTGGGGAGAGGACCCTCTCCTGGAACATGAGCCAAGGAAGCGGGAGGCAGCCGTAGCTTTCAAGCCTTTCAATTCCTGAAAGGGCATGGAAGCAGAGTGTGGCACCACAACCTGAAATTGCAAAGCACCTTTGCACCCACGAGTCAGGGCTCCCAAAGCTTCTAGAGGCAGCTGGTGCCATTTCTACCAATGCCTACTAAAGCCATCACCCAAACAGGAGTTTCCGGTATGTTCTGGCATTGCTCTGGTTAGGGAAAGGACAGCTCACACAGGCAACCTATGGAAATGGGATAAAGTCCCTGAAGATAACAGTGCCATGTTCCTTGAAGAGAGAAGTACTGGGTGGGTGACTGGAATTAAATGCACACACACTGAGCACCACCTGGCCGTGCCCAGCTTCAGGGGAAGAGAGAAAAGAGCTCTGTATAAGGTAAAGATAAAGGACCCCTGGACGGTTAAGTCCAGCCAAAGGCAACCATGGGGTGAGGCACTCATCTCTGCTTTCAGGCCGAGGGAACCAGCCTTTGTCCACAGACAGCTTTCCGGGTCATGTGGCCAGCAGGACCAAACCGCTTCTGGTGCAATGGGACACATGATGGAAACCAGAGCACACTGAAACGCCGTTTACCTTCCCACTACAGCCGTACCTATTTATTTACTTGCGTGGTGTGCCTTTGAACCGCTAGGTTGGCAGGAGCTGGGACAAAGAGACAGGAGCTCACCCCGTCGCACGGATTCCAACTGCCAACCTTCTGATCAGCAAGCCCAAGAGGCTCAGTGGTTTAGACCACAGCTGTGTACAAGGCTGTCTTAGAACATTGCTCAGGAAGTTGAGGGACTGCAGAATATAGCATCAGAATTGTTAAAAGGGATGATGGATGGAGAATATCACCAGGAGCTACATGCGTACAAATCCTGGTTCTAATCTGAGCACATTTGAAGGTGTTACTTTTAGCTTATAAATGTTCTAAACAGTTTTGAACCATGACACCTACAGCAGGGCTGGGGAACCTGTGGCCTTCCAGGTGTTGTGGGACGGATGGCAGGAGGTGAGAGTTCCACAGTACCTGGAGAGCAACTCCCCGTTCCTTAACCTGGCTGGCTGGCGCTAAGGGGAATTGTAGCCCCTAATCTTTCCTACATAAACCTGCCTGACCAGTAAGTTGAGCCTCAGAGCCACCACTTCTCTCGGAATTCTTTTTCCCAGAAAGGATTGCCTGCGGTAGTCTTGATTCTCGCTTTGGTGCCAGGTGAAAACTTGGATTGGCCCAGGCCTTGAAATAAATTCTGTTTATTTTAAGCTCTAGCTTGAGTTTCAGCTGGCCAGACCTGCAGCTGCTAATTTTTATTGAGCTCTTTTATTCATAAGCAACTCTGATCTAAATCTGCACATAACACTGAGATCGGCATTCAGTTTCTAATACCAAATACTGAATGCTTCCTTATGTGGTTACATTCATAATCTTATGTAAGATTTACTTGTCGTGTCACTCGTCCATCTCTACTGTCGTTATATCCCACCTGGGGGAAAAGCCCACAGCCACCTTGAAAGAAAGCAGGAGAATGCTGAACTGGGTATAAAATAAAGGATGATGCATCAATAGAGAACAGAGGCTGAAATAGAAGACAGACTCATCTCTTCATCTGCAAACAGCCTGACACGCCCTCCCCAAGAAGCAACACAAACATGAAGCAGGCAAGGAACCTTTGACAAAATACTCTTATAAAATTCCAATATTTTGTTGCTTGCTGAAAATATTGATTTGGTAGTTATAATTTTTATGGTGTTTTAATTATTTCATCCTACACTGCTATGATATGATTATGAACTGGTGGTTTATAAACATTCTTACAAATCAACCAATATTATCAGAGTTGGAATGGACCCTGAAGGCCATCGTGCGCAACCCCCTGCTCACTGCATCCCTGATGGATGGTGGTCCAGATGCCTCCAGCCCCCCCCCCACGGCACCTCTGTTCCACTGCCAAGCAGCTCCTCCACTTGGGAACTTTTCTACTAATGTTGAAATAAAAATCTGTTTCCCTACTGCAATTCCCATGCATTGCTTCTTGCCCTGCCCTCCAGAGCAACAGAACAGGCGTCTGCTCCATCTTCTGCCTAACAGAAGATCATCACCACCATCTCTTTATCCCTTCGTTCCCGTTTTTCATACTAAGCATATGCAGCTCTTTCCACTAGTCACCAACTATGTTCTACATCCCCCCCTCAGGTCCTGCTTGTGGGCTTCCCACTGGGGCATCTGGTTGGCCCTGGGGGGACAGGTGCTGGATGAGCTGTTGGTTTGTTCCAGGTCCTTTTATGATGATCAGTTAAGACACCTAGATCCTCTCTATGTTCAGCAGTAAATTTCATAAATCACTCAGAAGCCATCCAGGCATTAAATGGTATATAAATCAATAATAATACCATCCTTTCTTTGTGCTACAAACACAGATGCCAGACTTAGAGAATCAAAGAGCAGAGTCTTGCAGGAAACTGCTCTGCCCCCCCTGCAAGTCCACAACTACTGAAAACTTGGGAAGCAAGGAGGCCCAGGGGCAAAGAAGAATAGAATCGTGGAGTTGGAAGGGACCCTGAGGGTCATCTAGTCCAACCCCCGCACAATGCAGGAATCTCAGCTAGAGCATCCCTGACAGCTGGCCATCCAAGCTCTGCTTAAAAGCCTCCAAGGAGGGAAGGGTCCACTGCCCTGAGCAGCAAAATGGGATGCTGGGCAAGGAGCAGGTCTCAGGCTCAGCTCCCAGCATCTCCAGGGAGGGCTGGGAAAGATCCCCGCCCCTGAAGCTTCAGGGAGCCCGACTGGGGACAGGCCCGACGGCTGCGCCTCCCGGGGTGGCTCCCCGGCAGGGCAAGGGCAGCAGCCTCGGTGGGCCGCCCAGGGGCCGCTCCTTCCTCCCGGGGCCTTTCCGGGGCCTGGGCAGCTTCCGGGGCCGCGCTGGGGAGGCTCCCGGGGAGAAGATCCGCGCCTCACCTCCTCGCGGCGCTTCTGCCACCTCCCGCACGGCGACTCCTCCAGGATCTCCGACTCGTCCTCGCTCTCCTCCTCCTCCTCCTCCTCCTCCTGCGCCGCCGCCGCCAGCGGAGGGGACAGCGAGGTCATGCCGGGCCCCGCCGCTCCAGACGCCGCCGCCGCCTCGGCCTTCGGGTCGGAGCCGCCTCCTCCGCCTCCGCCTCCGCCTCCTCCTCCGCTGTTGTGTCCGGCCTGCTTGGCTTCGCCTTCGGACATCGCCGGGGACCGAGAGGGGCGACCTGCACCGGGCGGGGGGGGCGGGAGGGAAATGAGGCGCCGGCGGGGAGCCGGGGGCGGGGCGAGGCCTGGGCGGGCGGGGCCTGGCGTCCCCTTGGCAACCGGGGAAGGGGAGCCCCCCCCCTCCCGGGGCCTGGCCCCTCCGCCCCCTCCCCCTCGCCCACTCACCGGGCGCGGGCCGGTCTCCAGCTCGCGAGGGCCAACGGGCAGCAGACGGAGCCGCGCGCCGCCTCACGCGCTGCGGACGGAGCGACGCCAGCCGAGGCGGGCCGGGACCCGACGCCGACCAATGAACGGGCCAGCCGAGCCCCGGAGCGCCTTCGGATTGGCCGCGGGACTGGCTCCGCCTGGCGCCTGTCCGTCTGACGGGGAGCGAAGTGCGCGTGCGCCCGCAGGAGAGGGCGGGGCAGGGAGCTCGCCGGCTGGCCGGGCGGCGGCGCGCGTGCGCAGTGCGGACTCTCCGGGAAGAGCGTCCGACCCCTCGGCTTCCACGGGAGGCGCCCGCGGGCCGCTCGGGGCGGGATGAGGCCTCTCACCTCTCCATCCCAGTGCGGAAACGGGCTTGGAGGGCTCCTGTCCAGGAAGGGCTTTCCTTGGCGAGGATCCGGCGTCTCAAGCAAATAATAATAATAATAATAATAATAATAATAATAATAATAGAATTTATATATTGTCCTATAGCCACGGGTCTCAGGGTGCGTTATCTATTTATAGGATCTGTGGGATTAGCAGAAAGGACTCAGCCAGGCTATTGGAAAAGGTTTCATCAAGAACATCTTGCTCTCCATACTATTTCAGCTCAGGTTTTACTGGTAAAAAGTGATATTTCATCAATAAATTGATGGATTCCTTGATAAAACGGAGCTAAGTGAAAGGAACTGCTGTAAATAGGCACATCTGGCTACTTTGTTACCATTTTAACTGAGATGTTGCCATGGTCATTTGCAGAAGGGCTCCTACTACATTGCTATTCCTGTGCATTGATAGTGATATGTCATTATATTTCCATGAGAGTTGGAATCAAATGAAAAATCCATGGCAGATGCCCACACAACCTCTACTTAAAAACCCCAAGGAAGGAGAATCAGCCACCCTCAGAGGCAGATGTGAAGATTACTGACATAACCTCTCAATCTTCTCCAGGCTCACAAATCAACTGTTTCTTTACCTGTTCTAGGATCAAGCTGACTGGTCGGTAGTTGCCTGGATCTTCTCCCCCTTTTTGAAGACGGGGACATTTGCCCACCTCCAGGGACCTCACCTGTTCTCCAAGGTTCTAAGGCAGATGCTCTGAGATTACACCTGCAAGTCTCTTCAGCACCCTTGGGTGCAGCTCACCAGGCCCTGGAGGCTGGAATTCATTTGAAGTCTCCAAGTGTCCCCTTTCCCCCTCTTTTCCTATCTTGGGCTGCAGCTCCCTCCTTGCACCGTTGACAGTGGTACCTCGGGTAACAGACGCTTCAGGTTACAGACTCCGCTAACCCAGAAATAGGACCTCGGGTTAAGAACTTTGCTTCAGGATGAGAACAGAAATCGTGCGGCAGGAGGCCCAATTAGTGAAAGTGGTATCTCAGGTTAAGAACAGTTTCAGAGGTTAAGAACAGACCTCCAGAATGAATTACGTTCTTAACCCGAGGTACCACTGTATCCCGTTATCACCAGGATGGGCATCACTTTCCTTTTGGGTGAAGACAGAGGCAAAGTAGGTGTTGAGCACTTCCGCCTTCCCTCGATCACCCAAAAACCTTTATCCTCTTTTAATAAATAGGTGATAGAAGCTAGCTGGCCCCTGTCATCCTGGGCAGAACTGTTGGTGCTGTGCATTTCTTCCTTAAATCAGGTAGAAGGGAATGAAATTCAGTGGTTATTTAAGTTACTAAGGAGTAGACCTTATGCAAATCCAGAGAGGAGTCCCTGAGACGGTTGAATAGCATCTTGTATGCCTCTTTCCTGCAACTCCTGCAGCCAAGCTGGTGCCAGACAAATGCAGGAGAGAACCTGTTTCAGACCAGAAACTGCATTCTGTCACATGCCGGCCTGGGCGGGGCTAAAGGCCAAGGTGGGGAGGGCAATGGATGTGGCTTTTGTACAGCTTTCAGCCTTGCAAGTCAGAGGATTCTCCAGCCAACAAGCAAGAGACATTATTCAAGGGTGAAGTCAGTTCTCTTGCTGGTCCCTGCAATGTCCCAGAGACCCCACTGGCCTCTAGGCATTTGGGGTCCTCCCTCCCTGCAATGCAAAGGGATCCTCCCTCAGCAGATGCCCCCTTTTTATATAGAGAGTCTTAGCCAGTCACACAATTCTCTGCATTCTTCTTTATATCATTTTATAACTGTTCCAGTTATAAAGTGCCCAGATGTTTTATGATCTAGCAGTTCAGAAATACTTTTATAAATGAACAAGAATTGCAGCTCAAGGAGCCATTCCAGCCAGGGGGAAGCAGGGAGGGTGGGAGCAGAGCTGGCCAGAGAGGGGAGAGGGATGCAGCAGCAGCAGCCAGTCTGGCACAGGAAGAGGCCTGGGGGCCATATTTGCTCCCCAGCCCGGCCTGAGGACCCCCCCCCGCTCTGCTCTGAGGCACAGCAGACCCAAGAGGTCAGCAGCGGCCTCTGAAGCGACGCTGGCCGCTTCCAGCCACGACCTGCTTGCAGCTCTGCGGCGCCACAGCGGCTGCCTTGCAAGCGGAGGAGCAGCTGGCGGCCTCCCTCGCGAGGTGCAGTGGCCGCCTCTCGGCGCCGGGGGTCGGCTCTCTTCCTGAGGAGGTCGCTGCTTCTCAGGTGCTTCCTTGTCGACCTGCTTTCCCGTTCCCGCTGCTGCTGATAAAAAATGTGGCCGGTGGGATGAGCCAGGAAGCCAAAACACTGGGAGGAAAGGAAGGCTTTTTCTGTGGCCCCTGCCGCTTCCCGGGCAGGCCAGGTGTGCGGGACCTTTGGCCCTCCAGGTGTCGCGGAACCACAACTCCCATCAGGCCCAGCCAGCCGGCTCCCTGGCCGGGATGGCAGGAGCTGAGCCGCCCCTGGCGGGCCAAAGGTCCCGCGCACCTGCGGGAGGAGCCGGAAGCGCAGCGAGGAGCGGGATGGGTGAGCGCTGGGCCTCGCAGCCCCCTCTTTCCCCCACCCGCGGCCGCAAAAGCGGATACACTCCAAGTCCCACCCCCGAAAAGAGGAGTTTCAGCTCCGAGGGGGCTGCAGCATCGCCCCATCTCCGCCGCAGGGGCCCCTCGAGGAGGCCGCGCGCCTTTGCGCGTGCTGGCTCGGGGATCCCCCGCAGCCCAGGGGGGCTCTGATCCCGAGCTGCGCTCCTCACGTCTCTCTCTCTCCGCCCCCCCCATCCCCTCCGCAGATGCGGGACCCCGCGCGCGGCGCCTGGTGCGCAGCGGCATCTCGCTGGTGGTGCTGGGCCACTTGAACCTGGTGCTGGGCGCCATCGTGCACGGCTCCGTCCTGCGCCACGTGGCGCGCCCCGCGCGCACCATCACCTCCGAGTACGCGGTGGCCAACGTGATCGCGGTGGCCTCGGGGCTGCTGGTGAGTGAGGGGCGGCGGGGCGGGCTGGGGGCGCAGGCCAGCTCCTTGGGGGCAGGAGCAGCCGAGAGCCACCGCGTGTCCCCCGTCTCTCCCGCAGAGCATCGCCGCCGGCGTCGTGGCCATCCTGGTGTCGCGGAGCCGCTCCCCGCCTTGGCTGGTGAGTGCGCCCTGCCAGGAGGAGGAGGAAGGGGCCAGGCGCCGGTGCGGGCGGGGGAAAGGGCGCCCTGGGCGGGGGCCACAGGCTGGGCTCGGGGCCCCCAGCGCTCGCTCACCCCTTGCCTCCCTTCTCAGCGCTGGGTGCTGCTGGCCGCGGCGCTGCTCAACGCGCTGGTGTCGGGCGCCTGCTGCGCGGGGCTGCTGCTCGCCGTCTCGCTCACCGTGGCCAACGGAGGCCGCTTCCTGCTCGCCGGCTGCAACCGCTCGGCTCTGGCGACCGACGCCCGCACCGTGAGGACCGACGAGTGTCCCTTCGACACCACCCGCATCTTTGTGAGTTGCTGGTACTATCTTGGTATTTATTTGCATCCCGTAGTTTCCCCTAACAGAGATTCAAGGTGGCTTATAGCTAAAAACACCGGGGGGGAGCAGTAATTAAAAAGCAATTAACAGTAATTGGCATTAATAAAATTTCAGTTGTACAAAATAAAATGAAAAAAGAGAAAAAGAATAAAAAGTGCAAAGAAAAATAAAAAAGGAATATATGTGCATGTTACACTTCCAAATGTACTGTTATTGCCCTAATACATATATGATTGTGGATAACCTGCTATGTTATGTATAAATTCATTCTAAATGTCAATATATTTATCCAAAGTCTGCATCTCTCCACAATCTGACCATCTTTGGCAAGGAATGTCATGTCTTCATTCCTTGGATTAAAGAGAACCAGATCTTTATTCTTCATGTTCATCCATACCAGTCTTTTGGTCATAGGGTTTTAATTTTTTTTGGTCAACTTCCATGCAGCAGGTATATAATTCAAAAGAATATATACTTCTGAAAATTTCATTATTTTCTGCACAGTCATATTGATACACTCCAGCACTTTCTCCCAAAACTTAGGGAGTAAGAACAAATGTTTCAAAGAAGTGCTATCTTTATTACATCTTCAACAAAAAGCTGCATTAGACAGTCCTTTTGTATAAAAATTGTATGGAGTTCAATATTATTTTCTGTTGTATAAGTCGTAATTCAAGATCCATCGATATCTTTGCTACAGAAACTTAAACACTTTCCCACTATCAAACAGTATAAAGGTAAAAGGGACCCCTGACCATTAGGTCCACTCTGGGGTTGCGGAGCTCATCTCACTTTGCTGGCCGAGGGAGCCGGCGTACAGCTTCCGGGTCATGTGGCCAGCAGGACTAAGCCGCTTCTGGCGAACCAGAGCAGCGCACGGAAACGCCGTTCACCTTCCCGCCAGAGCAGTACCTATTTATCTACTTTCACTTTGACGTGCTTTCGAACTGCTAGGTTGGCAGGAGCAGGGACTGAGCAACGGGAGCTCACCCCGTCGCGGGGATTCGAACTGCCGACCTCCTGATCGGCAAGTCCTAGGCTCTGTGGTTTAACCCACAGCGCCACCTGTGCCCATCAAACAGTATAGGAGCATCCAATTCTTTATTCCAATTGTTTCTTAAAGTCTGCTTCTCAAACTTACTAGTAAATAACAAATATCTATAGAAAGTAATTGTATGTTTTCAGTTTCAAAAGATTTGACCAATTCTTCTAATGAGATCTTGGCTGCTCCCCAGCTGACCCTGCTCTGCCTGCCTCTTCCCTCCCTAGGACACGGCCCTGGCCCTCTGGCTCCCTTCCTTGGTGATGGCAGCGGTGGAGGCTGGCTTGTCCGCCTGGTGCTGCGTGGCGTCTTTCTCTCTCTCGGGCCACGGCCCCTCCTCCTACAAAGTGGCACTGGTAAGAGGGCACCTTTCTCCCTCTCCCCACATCCTCCCCACCCCGGCACTTGCAGAGCGACCCCTGGAGGCCACCCAGGGGGCCCTCTTGCTCCCTGCTTTGCCCCAGGTCCCTGGGCAGTTGAAAAGCTTCTCTTTGGGCTCCTTTTCCAGCTTCAGGAGGCTGCCCCAGCAAAGGAGGCGGCAGAGGAAAGCTCCGGAAGAGACCCTCATCACCAGCTCCTGGTTGACATGCAAGAAGAGGAGTGCAGCCTTTAGTGGGGAGAAAGAGCCTGCCCCACTTTTGCTGCAAGAGGCCCATGATAATGGGCTGTGCTGGGATGGCCAGACACAGAATGATAGAGTTGGAAGGGACCCCGAGGGTTGTCTAGTCCAACCCCCTACAATGCAGGAATCTCAGCTGAAGAATTCCTGATGGATGGCTATCCAACCTCTGCTTTAAAACTTCCAAGGAAGGTGAGTTCACCACCTTCAAATGTAGCCCATTCTCCACTGTCAAACAGCTCTTACCATCAGAAAGTTCTTCCTGATGTTTAGTCATTATCTCCATTCTTGTAACTGGAAGCCATGGGTTCAGGTCCTACTCTCCGGAGCAGGAGAAAAGCAGCTTGCTCCATCCTCTGTGTGACAGCCGTTCAGATATCTGAAGATGGCTCTCATATCTCCTCTTTCAGGCTAAACATCCCCAGTTCCTTCCACCATTCCTAATAAGGGTTGGTTTCCAGACCCTTGATCATCTTGGTCGCCCTCCTCTGCACACAATCCAGCTTGTCAATATCCTTAAATTGTGGTGCCCAGAACTGGACACAAGACTCCAGGTGGGGTCTGACCAAGGCAGAGGAGAGCGCTACTTTACTAGCCAGGCAGGAATCTTCTCCTGGCTCAACTGGCACCCCTTTGCAAGGGGGGGGGGAGAGAGATGCTTCTTCTATACTAATTCCCTGCTCCCCACATTGTAATACTTCCTGTGGCTGGGGCTCCTCGGTGCAGCTGTGTGCTCCTTCAGAGTAGCTGCAGAGCGACTCTGTGACCCAGCCTGGCACTGTGAAGAGCAGCACTTGCACCTAATTGCCATCAAAACTGCCCCCAATGCCCAGATGGAGAAGGGGCATGGTGCAGCCGTCACTCCAAGGAGAGCAGCACAGAGACAGGCGTCAGATTAGAGAGAATTGGTTTGTCTCCTGAGGGAAAGTCACCTGTCCCTTTGCTCAGGGGCTGGCCGGCGGCCTCAAACCCCATGGCCCAGCAGAACGTGGCTTCACACACACCAGGAGGCCCTTTGACCAGAGCTGGGCCCCTCCGGCCCCCACCCAGCCAGTTGTACTGGACTTTGAGAACTCGGAATCCAAGTGCTGTGGCAGAATTAAACAGTACAGACTCAGAGTGGACAGTCCTTTCCTTCACATGACCCCCCCCCCGTCTCTGCTGCTCCCACTGGGACCCAAACACCCTCGCTTGGGGCTCTGGCAGTGGCATATGCTCCCCAGCTCTTCACCCCCCCCAGAGGGCCCCATCTGTACCTGGAGCACCCGCATGAGAGTTGCCACCTTCCTTTTAGGGCTGCTCAGCTCTGAGTGCTGCTTGCGCCACAAGCCCCAGACCAGAGGCGGCTCACATGGCCACCCCCTTCCAACCTTGCCGGGGTGGGGGAGTGTCACACGTCAGCCATGGATGGGGCACCAAAAGCATGATTCTCCAGACCAGCTGAAAACCAGCTGCTGGGAAGTGCCAGTGGGCAGAAGGCTTGCAGGCTTCCCTTACGGCATCAGGCAACTGGGCCCAGCGCTTCTTATCTGAGAAGAACACCCCATCTGTGCCCAGAGACAGGGTCACCCTTCTTGTATACCAACATGCACACAGATGGGGAAGATGGTCCCCTTTGGCGAGGGAGGGAGCGGTTTCAGTCCTGAGAGTGGTGCTGGGGTGGACAAAGGGGTTTCAACATCCCTGCCCAGCCCAGGATCAGCAGGACTCTCTCCAGGTGACGGACAGAGTGACCCCTCTAACCCTCCATGTTTTTCCTCTGAGTGTTGCTTCGGCTGCTTCCAGTTCTTCCCTTCAGCTGGTTAGAAAGATGGCAAGAGAGATGTAGAAACGATAACATTTAATTAGAAAGGAGGAAGGGTCCAGCGTCTGGTCCTGGCTGCGTCACTGGAAGGAGAAGTTGGTGCCGGGCAGCCCCCCGCACCACTGGTTGATGAACTTGAGCACGTCCTGGCAGGAGGGGTTGTGGGACACCTGCAGGAGAGGGCGGGAAAGTCAGGGCAGGTAGGGACCAGGCCAGGCTCTCGAGGGCCCCCCCCCACACCACTCTCCCTCTCACCTTGACCGCCATCAAGAACTTGTTCCAGCTCTCCTTGTTGGCCTCTTTGCCGGGGCGCTTGAATTCCACCTTGTTCCGCAGCACAGGGTAGCCTGGCAAGGGGCACGGAGATGAGACCAGTTGGGGAGGCTGGGCTGGGGTGCAGCTCTCCCCCAACAAAGGCAGCTCCCTTGGGAGCTCCGCTGGGGCAGGGGCAGCTGCTGCCCCTGGGCTCTGCGCATGGAGATGGTGTGGACCCCCTCTCTGGCTCAGGCTGGGAAGCCTCCCCAAGAGATTCGCAGAAGACCAGCAACCCCGACTGAGGCTCAAGGAAACACACTTGCAAGCAGCTAATTTCTCAGTGCATGGAAGGCAGGCAGAGATGATTTGGGTATAAAATAATGCATGGCATGGGGGACAGAGGAAAGTTTTTCTCCCTCTCTCACACCACCAGAAATTGTGGACGCCCAGTGAAGCTGAATATTGCTAGATTCAGGACGTGGAGCATAGTTCAAGTGTGGAACTCCCTCCTGCAGGAGGCAGCCGCGGCCACTAAGCTGAACGGGGCAAATTCATGGAGGAGAAAAAGGCTCTCCAAGGCTCCCAGCCACAATGGCTCTGCTCTGCCTCCACAGCTGGAGACAGGGATGCATCTGAATCCCAATTTCTGGAAATTGCAGGAGGGGAGAGTGTTGCTCTGGCGCTTGAATCTGTTTGGCTCCTGTGAGAAGAGGATGCTGGACTAAGTGGGCCCTTGGCCTGATTCAACAGGCTCCTCTTACGTTCTTACAGGACAGGGGCACAGCAGTGGCCACCCCCAGCCAGCCAGCCAGGGGGCAGGGCTGGGTGGCCCCCAGGGTCCCCTGCGAGGGTCCTGTTCCCCCTCACCTGTGATCAGGCAGGGCAGGGAGCGCACGCCGGTGCTGGCTGCCACCAGAGAGGCCTCGTAGGTGTCGCGCTCGTCGCGGGGCAGGACCTGCTCCAGCCGCTGGTCCATGGAGACGGTCAGGACCCAGTCGCGGGTCTCCTCACGCTGCTCCTCCTGCCATGGGGGGGGGAGTGCAAGGGCCTCTCAGATGCAGGCAGGCCGCAGGGCAAGGGTGGGGTGTGGGGCTGCCTTCCCCTCTGTGTCCCCCCAGGGAGCACCTTCCTTCCCCCTCCCTCCCCCCGGCTGTCGCTGGGCACCCACCGAGACGTGCTGCTTGGCAGGCAGTGGCACCTCAAAGGGGATGTCTGTGTTCTGGAAGTCGGAGTGGTCCAGGGCGTCCAGAGAGCCCTCCTCAATCGCCTAGGCAGATCAGACACAGGAAGGGCTTTTTCTGACCAAGGCCATCCCCCCCCCAAGCCCCATTCCCAGCCCCCTCCAAAGGAAACACTCACGTCTGTCAGGTCCAGAAAGTGGTTCAGGAAGATGAAGGCCATGTTCTCCCACCCAACGCCCTGCAGGGAGACGGGGGCGGCGTGAGGGGCTGCTCTGGCTGCCAGCTGAGGGATGCCAGTCGGGAGGGCAGAGGGGGTATTGGGGGCAGCCCAAAGCACCAGAGAGGCACCAGCTGGTTGTGCTGGAGGTCCCAGGCTCCACCCCATCCCTTGCCTGGCAGCCGGATCAGAGGGAAGGAGCCACCTCAGAGCAGCAGCGCTCGGGCAGCCGCTGAAACCTCGAGATGGGGCAGGGGGTAAGAATGGGGGTGCTGGGGGCAGGCGGGGGTCCTCATCCTGCCACAGCACCCGCTGGGGGGGAATCGGTGAGGGTGGAGGAGTTGAATGGAGCTGCAGTTGCTCCAGGGTCCTTTCCGGCTAGGGTGCTGCCACTGGGCCCTGGCGGCTGCTCTGGAGGGAGGTCTTTGGGCACAGGGGACCAGGAGAGGCCGGCTCCAATGGCCGCTGTGTGGCTCAGAGGGTGGAAGGAAAGGCCAGTGGGAGATTAACAGTCTCTCAGGTTCCCAACTGGGCTTGGCGCCCCCCAGGGGAGGATGGGACTGACTGGCCAAAGCCCCATCCCCAGCCTCTTCCCCCAGCCTGGCTTCAGCTGCCCGCCGGACCCAGGCGCCCCCTCTCCCGCCTCTTGCCTTGGCTGCCGACCCGGCTTCATAGAAGGCCTTGTCTGCGGGGATGAGCTCCGTGTGGCGCAAGAGGGCGATGGAGAGCTTGGCTGCCACCGTGTCCTGGAGGCAAAGGGACAGTCGTCACCCTCCCTCCCCATCGCTCGGATCCCACCCCACTGGCCTCCCGCCTGGGAGGAAGGTCCCCCGGACCCAACTGGCTGCCGCTGGCCCTCGGGAGCAAAGGATTCTGGGCCAGGGGAGAGCTGCGGCACAGGATGTGAACCTCTTTTCATATATACGATATATTCATGGGAGGAGAAGCAGCTGAAAGTCTGGCTCTTTCCTCTCTTCCTCTGGGGAAGGAGGAAGTGTGGATGGGAGAAAACCAGAGCTGAGGGCAAGGCCTTCTCCCCGCTCTTTGGGCCTCTCTCGTTCTCTCACCAGCTGCTTGATGCTCTGGGCTGCTGACCGCGTGGCATAGTAGTGCGCCACCACCAGCATGGTCTCAAACTCCTCGTGCGCCGGCGTGTTTGCTTCACTGGACTTCACAATATTCTCACACTGCGGGGAGAAGGGACCGCTGGGCTTGGCACACAAGGCAGGGCAGTCGGGGGGGGGGAGCCCTTTGCTGCCTTCCATGGGAGGGCCAAGAAATGCAAGCAGCAACTGCAACTGCTGCATTCCCAGAATCATGGAATTGCAGGGTTGGAAGGGACCACAAGGGTCATCTAGTCCAACCCCTGCCGTGCAGGAATCTTTTGCCCAAAGTGGGGGCATTGCAGGGGGTTGGGCTAGATGACCCTCAGGGGTCCCTCTCCAACTCCTTATTTATATCACTCTGGTACAGGATTTTCTGCCTCCCACAGCAGGGGAGGTACCTCCATCTGGCAGGCCTACAGAGGTCCCCATTTGGCCCAGAAGGCGGTTCAGCCCAAGCGAAGACGCAGTGGAGAACCTTAAACTGGGAGGGGGACCCAGGATCTGCCCCCCAGCCCAAACCAGATCCCAGCCCCTGTCCTGAGGCACTTTTGCAGCTGCTGCCGCCGCTCTCACCAGGTTGAAGAGCACATCTCGCA